TTTTCCATAATAGCTGTACCAATTTACATTTCCGCCAACAATGTATAAGGATTCTCTTTTCTCTATGTCCTTGCCCACATTTGTTGTTTTTTGACTATTTGATAAGAGCCAACCTAACAGGTATGAGGTTACATCTCATCGTGGTTTGGATTTTCATTTTTCTGTTGATTAGTGATGTTGAACATTTTTTCATGCTCATTTTTTCATGCCTGGCTGGTCATTTGTATGCCTTTGTTTGAGAAATTATCTTCAGGTCCCTTGCTTCTCCTTTAAAGTGTGTTTTTCTTACTATTCAGTTGTTTGAGTTCCTCATATATGTTGAATATTGTGTCTTTTTCAGATGTATGGTTTGCAAGTATTCTCTCCCATCCTGTAGATTGTCTCTACATTCTGTTGATTGTTTTCTTTGCTGTGCAAAAACTTTTTATTTTGTTGTCATCCGATTCATCTATTTTTGCTTTTGCAGTCTGTGCTTTTGGGGCCATATTCAAATAATCGTTGCCTAGGCAAATATAGTGGAGTTTTCTACTTCCTTTAAATAGCTTCACATTTTCCGGTCTTATATTTAAGTTATCAAACCATTTTAGTTGATTATTGTATCTGATGTAAGATGACAGTCTAATATAATTTTTCTACATGTGGATATTCAGTTTGCCATCTATTGAAGAGACTACCCTTTCTTATTGTGTGCTCTTAACATCTTTTTGGAAAAATCAGTTGATCTAATGTGTGGATTTATTTCTGGCATCTCTGTTCTTCATTTATTTTTGTGTCTCTTTTAAGGCTGGTACTATGCTGCTATGATTATTATGGCTTGGTAGTAGATTGTGAGGTCATATAGTGTGAGGCCTCCAGCTTTGTCCTTTTCACTCAAAATTACTTTGGATATTCAGGGTCTTTTGTGGCTTCATATACATTTTGGATTTTTTATTTTTATAACAAATATCATTGGAATTATGATAGGCATTACATTGAATCTCTATATTGCTTGGGTGGTACAAATATTTTCTCAATATTTATTTTTCCAATCCATGAACACAGGATACTTTTTCCTTTGTTTGTATCTTCTCCAATTTCTTTCATCAATATTTTGTAAATCCCACTGTACAAATTTTTAATCTTCTTGGTTAAATTTATTCCTAAATATTCTTATTTTTGATAATTTTTGTGAATGGGGTTGCTTCCTCGATTATATTTTTAGATAATTTTTGTTAATGTATAGAAATGTTACTGATTTTTGTATATGTTGATTTTGTGTCTTGAACTGCGCTAAATTTGTTTATCAGTTTTCATAGTTTTTTTTGGTGGAGCCTTTGGGATTTCTTAATATAAGATCATGTTATCTGCAGATAAAATTTCACTTCTTCCTATCTGATTTGGATGTTTTATTTCTTTCTCTCCCCTAATTACTCTGTCCAGGACCTCCAGTACTATATTGAATAAAAGTTGCAGGACCGGACATCCTTATCCTCTTGGTGATCCTAAAGGCAAAGATTTTAACTTTTCACCATTGAGAATGAGTTGCCTGTGGTCTTTTTAATAACGGTCTTTATTGTGTTAAGTACATTACAAGTATATATAAGTTGTTGAAAAATTTTCTTATCAGGAAAAGATGCTGAATTTTGTCAAATACGTTTCCCACATCTTGAAATGATCATGTAGTTATTTTCTTCATTCCATTAATGTGATGTATTACATATAACGATTTGCACATTGTGAACCATTCTTGCATCCCAGGGATAAATTCCACTTGGTCAAGGTGAATAATTCTTTTTGACGAGCTGTTGAATTCAGTTTTGTAGTAGTCCATTTTCACACTGCTATAAAGACACTACCTGAGACTGGGTAATTTGTAAATAATAAAGGTTTAATTGACTCACAGTTCTGCATGGCTGAGGAGCCTCATGAAACTTACAATTGTGGCAGAAGGCAAAGGAGAAACAAGCATCTGCTTCACAAGGTGGCAGGAAAGAGACAGCACAAGGAACTACCGCATTTTAAAACCAACAGGTCTCCTGAGAACTCACTCACTACCAGGCAAACAGCATGCGGGAGACTGCCCTGTGATCCAATGACCTCCAACCAGGTCCTTCCCTTGACACGTGGGGATTATAATTCGAGATGAGATTTGGGTGGAGACACAGCCAAACCGTATAAAGTTTGCTAGTATTTTGTTGAGGAGTTTTGAATCTATGTTCATCAGGGATATTGACCTGTAATTTTCTTTTTCATACCCTAGTTGGGCTTTGACATCAGGGTAATATTGATCTCTAAAAATGAGCTCGAAAGTATTATCTCCTCTTTTATTTTTTTGAAGTATTTGAGAAGAAAGGATTGTTTTAAGTTCTTTAAATGTTTGGTAGAGTTCAACAATTATGTACTGAGTTATTCTTTGATGAGATCTTTTATTACTTACCCAATCTCCATATTTTATGTTGGTTTCTTCGGATTTTCAATTTCTTTTAAGTCTTGGTAGGTTTTATTATCTAGGAATTTAAGTTATTAAATGTGTTGTCATATAGTTTTTCTTAGTAGTTTCTTACGATCCTTTGTATTTCTGTATTATCAGTTGTAATGTCTCCTCTTTCATTTCTGATTTTGTCTTCTCTTTATTCTTAGTTTAGCTAAAAATTTATCGATTTTGTTCCTTTTTTCTAAAAACTAACTCTTGGTTTCATTGCTTTTTCTTCTTGTTTTTCTAGTCTCTACATCATCTGTTTTTTCTTCTGATCTTTTTTTCTTATTTATTCTACTAACTTTAGGCCTAGTTGGTTTTTTTTCTAGTTTCTTGAGTTGTAACATTAGGTTGTTTATCTGGAATTTTTCTTTCTTTTTCTTTTTTTGATATAGGTATTTATTGCTATAAAATTTCCCCTTATAACTGCTTTTGCTGCATTTCATAATTTTGGTACGCCGTGTTTGCATTTTTCTTTATCTCAAGCTTTTTTTTTTTAAATTTCCTTTCAATCTCTTCTTTGATTCATTGGTTCTTCTGTAATACATTGTTTCATTTCCATGTATTTGTGAATTTTCCAAAATTCTTCCTGTTACTGATTTCTAGTTTTATACCACCGTTGTTGGAAAGGATTCTTGCTATGATTCAGTCTCAGTTTGTCCAATCTGCTTGGCTGCCTAACATATGATCTGTTGTGGAAAATGTCCTATGTGCATTTGAGAAGACTGTATATTATGTTACTGTTGGGTGAAATGTTTAGTATGTGTCTGTCAGGTTCATTTGGTCTAAAGTTCCATTTCAGTACAGTGTTTTCTTATTGATTTTCCATCTGGATAACTGTTCATTGTTGAAAGTGATACTGAAGTTCACTACTATTATTGTATTGCAATCTCTCTTTCCCTTAGTATCTGTTAATATTTGTTTGGTATATTTAATATATATAGGAGCTTCAAAGTTGGACACATATGTATTTATAATTGTTATATCTTCTTGTTAAATTTACACCTTTATCATACTGTAATGACCTTTTTTGTCTCCTTCTATTTTTCTGATACTTAAAGGTAATTCTGCTTATATATATATGTGTGTGTGTGTATATTATATATATATAGAGAGAGAGTTACCGCTGCTTTCTTTTAGCTTCTCTTTGCCTGGAGTATCTTTTTCCATTCCTTCACTTTCACATGATGTGCCCATAAAGTTGAAGTGATTCTCTTATAAGCAGCGTATAGCTGGGTCCTGTTTTGTTTTGCTTTAATTTATTCAATCACTCTGTATCTTTTGAACAGAGAATTTTATCCATTTAGTCTTTCCATTCTTGACCATAGCATGAGTTCTTTGATTAATTTCATCAACTTTTGTAATGTTTTAGCATATAGATCTGGCACATTTTAACTAAATTCATACCTAACTTTGATTCATTTTTGGGGGGAGCAAATGTAAATCATATTAGTTAAGATAAATTTTGCTTACTGTTCTTACTATATTGAAATAAGAAAGATTTTTACAATGCTAACTTTGTATTTTGTGACTATGCCAGCTAATTATTTTCTAGGAGTTACTTTTAATAGATTCCATGGGTTTTTTGAATGGAAATTTGTGTATATAGATAGGTATAGTTTTTAATTCAGTCCTTTCTAATCTGTATATCTCATTTCTTTACTTGCTTTAATACATTGGTTAGGCCTCTTGTACAGTGTTAGATATGAGTAATACAGGAAAAATCTTTGCCTTGCTCTCAATTTTAGGAGGAAGGCATTCACTCTTTCAAAATTAATAATTATGTTAGTGGTATTGTTTTTCCAGAAGCCTAGTATCAGATTGATAATTTTTTTTTTCAATTTCTTATTTTCTGCTAGTGTTTATTATGAATCAATCATTAATTTTGTCAAATACTTTTCTTCATTAGTTGATATGATCATGTGCCATTTCTTCTTTAGACTGTTAATATGATAGATTACACTCATTAATTTTTGAGTATTGAAAAATTTTCCCATATATAGGGTAAATATTGTTTTGTTATAACATAGTATTGTTTTATATATTGTTGGATTTAATTTGGTAATGTTGTTGAGGATTTTTGCATCTAAATTCATAAGTGACATTTCTCTGTAGTTAATCTTTCTCAGAGTGTCTTTGACTCATTTTGATACTGTTCATGTAGTAATGGTTTTATAAAATTAGTTATGATGTGCTCTCCTCTCTTCTATTTTCTGAAAGAAATTGGCTTTATTTCTTCTTTAAATGATTAGTAGAACTTCTCAGTGAAACCATCCAGAACTGAAGATTTCTTTTTCAGAATAAATGTTCACACGCCTGTAATCCCAGCGCTTTGGGAGGCCAAGGTGGGTGGATCATGAGGTCAGGAGTTTGAGACCAGCCTGGCCAGCATGGTGAAACCCTGTCTCTACTAAAATTACAAGAAATTAGCCAGGTATGATGGCACACACATGTAATCCCAGCTACTCAGGAGGCCAAGGCAGGAGAATTCCTTGAACCCAGGAGGTAGAGGTTGCAGTGACCCAAGATCACACCACTGTGTTCCAGCTTAGGTGACAGAGTGAGAATAAATTCAATTTATATAATAATTATAGGTTTATCGTATCTTTGGTAACTTCTGATAGTTCAAGTTTCTCTAGGAATTGGTATATTTTATTTATGTTGCTGAATATATGTGTAGATTTGTTGGTAATATTTTTTAAAGTTATGCTTTTCATTTCCGTGGTTTCTGTAGTAATATCTGCTTTTATTGTCGACATTGGTAATTTGTGTCTACTCTCCTCTTTTTCCTGTTAATATCAGTGGAGTTTTATCAATTTTTAAAATCTTTTCAAATAACTACTTTTTGATTTTTAAAATTTTCTCTAGGATTTTAAATTTACAATTTTATTGATTTTTGTTTCTATCTTCATTTTACCTTCCATTTGCTTAGTTACAGTTCCTTAAGATGAATGTTTGGGCTATTTACTTGAGATCATTCTTCCTTTGTAATATGAGCATTTAATATCAATTTCTTTCTATGTATTTCATTAGCTGCATATCACATACATTTATATGTAATATTTGCATTTTAATTCAGTTAAAAATATTTTCTAATTTTCCTTGACATTTTTACTTTGTATTATAGATTCTTGAGAAAGTGATGCTAAATTTCCAAGTGTTTAGTGATTTTCCTGCTATCTTTCTTTTACGAATTTCTAGTTGAATTCTATTATATTCAGAAAACATACTACGTATGAGTTCTATTATCTCAATGATTTAAGATCTGTTTTTATTATCCAGAATATGGTCTACTTTGATGCTGTGATTTGAATGTGTCCTCAAAAAGGTAAATGTTGGAAACTTAAGCCTAATGGGATGTGTTTAGGTCACCAGGGCTCTACCTTCATTAATGAATTCATGCCACTTATAAAAGGGTTTGAGGCTATAAATTTTCTCTCACTCTCTCACACATGCTATCTCATCTTTTTTCCTTACACCATGGGATGAGGCAGCATGAAGGCCCTCATCAGATGTAGGCTTCTCAAAATTGAACTTCTCAGCCTCCAGTACTGTAGTAAATAAATGTCTGCTATTTAAAAATTATTTAGTCTGAAGTATTTTGTTATAGTAGCACAAAATAGAATAAGACAAGGCAAATTAAAGATTTAGTAAGGTAAGTGTTCATGAACACTTGACAAAAATGTGCCTGCTACTATTGTTGGGTGGCGTTCTATAAATGTAATTAAATCCAGTTGGTGAGAGTTGAAGTCTCCAACTACAATTGTAGATTTTGTCTAGTTCCTTTTGCTATGTCAGTTTTTCCTTCCTTTATATCTTCTTGGAGATTTTTTTTCTTTTAAAATTGTGTAATATCCCTATATGTTCTCTGTAACTTTCTTTGCTCTCAATTCCACTTTGACTGAAATTTGTATAAACCATATCAGATTATTGGTCTTTTTGGACTATGGTTTGCGTAGTTTGACATGTGTGACACACACACACATACACACATACCTATATTTCCATCTTTTTTCATTTTAAACTACCAGTATCATTACATTAGAAGTCAGTTTTTTGTATATAGAATCTAGTTGGATTAGGATTTTTAAAAATTCATTCCGATAATATGTGTGAGTTAATTTGTGTGTTCAGACAATTTATACTTAATGTGATTATTGCTATGTTTGGATGTAGGTCTACAATTGTGTTTTTTATGTACCTCTTTTTATTTGCCTTTCACTTTTCTTATTTTCTTTTCGTTGATTTACACATTTTAGTATTTCATTTTAATTTATTATTGGGTGTTTGACCATATCCCTTTGTATAGTTTTGGATTTTTTGTTTTGTTTTTATTTTGTTTTGCTTTAGTGATTTCTCTAGTTTTTACAGTGTACATATTTAGCTCTTCATGATTCACTTTAAATCAGTATTTTACCACTTCAAGTGGGAAGATTAGAAACTTACCATAACATAGGTATTTTACTTGCCTTTTTGTAGTTATCATATATTACATCTACATACATTGCAAACTCCATTAGTATATAGGTTTTCATCCCCACGTGTGTTGAGATTTTCCTGATTTTTCCTATATCTAAAAAATTTTAATTGTATCCTGCATATTTTGAATGTCATGTTATCAGCCATTTGGTCTTGTTTAAATTATATGTATTTGTTTGTTGTGGTAGGCCATTAACTGATACAGATTTTGGTCACAAGTTCCAACCTGTATGCTGTGGCGCTAATTTCAGTTTACTTTTTGAAGATTTTCTGTGCTATTTAACTCTTTCCTGTGTGCGGGTCATCCAGTGGCAAGTCTGGGACATAAGTGATAGTTTATTTCTGTGTTCAGTTTTCAAAATGTGCTCCTTAACATCAGATCCATGCATACTCAAATCAGGATTGAACCCAGAAGATTAATAAGCAATTTTATAGATCACCTTCCTAAGCTTTTCTCTTTCTGTAATCTTTTTGGTTCTTTCTGATTTTCTCGGGGCTTGCTTTTATACCCCCCAGTCAGGGAGCTGCACTGTATTTAACCCTATTTGTTAAATTCTTAATTCCATTGCAACCATGTTTGGGGCCAAATGGCAGAAGGACAAAAATAGTAAAAGCAATGAACGTTTACCTCATCTTCTTAATACCACAACTTCTCTGATCAAAGAACTTTCCCCTCCTTAACAGTTTTAGGTAACTGCAGGCCCATGCTACAGCCATCATTACCATTCAAAGTCCTCTTTCTGACTCCTCAAACTAGAACCAGAAGACATCTCCTGCAGCTCTCTCTTTCTTCATTGGTATTCACTTCCAGGTTTTAAGCAGCTCTGAGATCAGGTTGACAGATACCACACAGGTAGATATAAATGGTAAGTTCACAGTCATTTCAGTGTTACTTTGTATTTTGACTTTCTTTTCTAATCCATCTGCTACTATTTAAGTTTTGGAGTCTTCTCGTACTTGCTCCATGCATCTATCCAGATTTTATTACAGTATTCAGTGAAAGAGTCAGGATAATGAGTGCTTACTTTATGTTGCTTAAAACTAAAATTTCAATGATTTTATTTTAATTTAAAATCTTTAATTAAATTCTAATATTTGTTTTGTGGAATACCTTCCACATAGTATTTACTGCATATTAGTTGAAAAAAAATTAACTGTTTTAAAGAAATGAAAACGTTACTACTCAAGTTATTAAATCTATTCAGCAGTGGACTTCCCAATTTCAATGATGCAAACGTGCCTCCATAAATACAATAAATTAAGTGTCTTTCATCTGATGGACCTCCTTTTAGAACGCTGCAGTCATGTTTCCTTACTTTTAGTGCTCATAGCTGAGTGACATAATCTCATCAAAAGATCAAGCAAGTGATATGGCAGTCCCAACTTCTGCCACACTGATTTGGATTTCATACCTTGTACATATTACCTTGACTAGAAAGGGAATGAGGAGGTGAAGGAGCTATTTTTAAATTTTTCAATGCAGAGTTACTCTTTCATTTCTCCTAGGGAATCTCCAAGATTTTCCACTTTTCAGAGATTGTTGAGGGCTGACAAACTCAGTGTTACAATGTGCATTTCACACGTCAACCCGAGGCTACTGCCTGAAGGTCTCTGACAGAAATCAGTGTGCTCAAAATGCCGCCAGGGCCCAAGCAGGAAAGGTACATACCTCTATGGAGCACCCAGAGCTGCCAGGAAGAAACGAGTTTGAGAGAAAAATGCTAGCCACAAAGGTATTTAGCTTCTATTTAAAAGATCCATATGAGTAAGACACATTAAAAGGTCATAAAATATATACAAAGTTTTCAGTGTCCAAGTTTTTGAAATGTCACATTTTTTGTGGTTTTTCACAAAGTCTAATATTATTCTCTAAGATAGTTTGATGTTTCCAGAAATGTCATAACAGCATATTATTTTTTCAAATGACAATCATTTTGCAGAGGGCAAATAGCTGGCTATGTGAAATTCCAAAGAAACAACTACACGTCTGTCCACATGAAAAACAAGTTGCTGGAATGTATAAGTATTTTGATGGATTTTAGATTTATCTCTCATATGCTATCAATTTTGAGAGTTTAAGGCCAAACTCTTTATTGACACCAATTGTTATAATAATGGTAGAGTTGCATGTATGTGTGAGAAAGATACACAATAAGTAAAATAATTCTATACCTTGTCATTCTTTTTAAATTTTAGACATGGTCTCCCTTTATCGCTGAAGCTAGAGTACAGGGATTATAGCTCATTGCAGCCTTTAGCTTCTGGGCTCAAGTGATTATCTTGCCTCAGTCTCCCAAGTTGCTGAGTATCTGAGACTAAAGGTGAGTGCCACCATACCTGGCTAATTTTAATCTATTTTATATTTATATTAATAAAATATAATATCAATGGTGATATATCTGATAAATATTTAATTATGATACTACTATATTAATATAATATTACTGAATAATATATATAATAAGTAGTTATGATAAATATTATAAATAGCACCACCATGCCTGGCTAACTTTTAACATACGTAATATATATATGTTTGTAGAGATGGTTTCTCACTATCTTGTCCAGGCTGGTTTTGAACTCCTGGTCTCAAGTGATCCTCCTGCCTTGGCCTCCCAAAATGCTGAACAGGCATGAACCACCACACCTGGCCTCATCATTCTTTTTTTCACAACAACATCTGTATAATTATTTTGGAAACATATGTATGTTTCTTTGACAAATTCTTAGCTTTGCACAATTCAAACCTTACACTATTTTAATTCTCTTTCTCTCTCTGAATGTATGTGTATTTTTTATATATATATAAAATATATATATATCCATTTGTGACACACACACACACAGATACATACATATACAGTCAAAATTGGGTATATTCTTTATAAGTGTTTTCCTAAATACATACTTGATTGTATAGTAGTTTTAGTCAAGTCTGCCCAAATAATTTTAATTTGGGAGCTAGTTTTCAAAGAGTTTAAACTCTAAGTAAAATAATCTTCTCATTAATTAATATTAATCATGAGCCAATATTAATTTGCATTTGTTGGTATATACAAACATGAATATCAGAAAAAAAAGCAGCCTCAGTGTTACTCTTAAATATGTGTACATACTCTTATAAGCAGTCAGAGTAGATAGTGATGTATCTGTAAATATTTGCAAGAAATAGAGAGGGACTTTGTTTTCAAAAGTTCTCCCCAAGTGTTCAGATGCATTTTATGAAGTGCCATCTTCAACAATTCATCACTTTAATTTGAGACATTTATTCCAGGAGCTTGCTATTAACATAATATCACCATTAGAAGGCTAATGTCTGAAGCTATTTATCATATTAGCCTTCTTTGACCTGTCAAAATGCTGTTCTCTACAGAGCAAAGAACAGGGTTAGGAGAGAATGGAAAAATGCGGTCAGGTAAGGCTTGCTGGGAAGAAGAGAGCTATAGCCGAGGTGCTATCAGAAACTTTATATTGCCAAAACACTGTTTTGCTTCTGGATTCAATGGAAGAGGAGATACCAATAACAAATACCAGTTAATTTGAAGATTTGCTTTGGATTAACCCTACCATGAGAGAACGGAAGTGCTTACTAAGTCAAGATAAGATGGTACTTGTAAAACATGTACAAAACAACATTAAGATATATATATATATAATTTATTAAGATACACAAGGTATTTGACAGTGAAATGTTTTCCTTTTCTCCCAAATAGTTTCAGTCTGATTGGCTCCAAGCCCTAAAACCAACCTCAGGAAAATCAGTCATTAAGCTGATGAATAGATCTTGGAAACACGCACATAAGAAAAGGTATGTCTATATTATAGGTTATTTTGCAGAGTCAGCAGAGTATTACAACTTTATAGCCAGCCTAAAAAGGATTAAAGCCATCCATTACTCTGTTCCAGAAGAACTTTAATAACCTCAGAAGCTCTATATTGGCTGTATACATTTGAAGCCTGTCACTAAATAGCACTATCTTGGCAGCATCCTGACAAAGGATGCACTTATCAAATAGGTATTAGGAAGCTGCCAATGAATCCACCATATCTTTCATCAAATCTTAGAAAGGTGTGTATTTGAAGCATCTAGATTGTGGTTATATTTTGATGAAAAATTGTGCCACATTATCATTTTCAACTGTGTAACACTAGGATCACCTAAAATATATTTAAAGAACATTTAGAATATCTGACCCCAACACGTAGACAAAATAATAAGGAAATAAGGAGATGATTACCATTTTATGGAGGGTCAACCACCACTACATTTTTCTCAAACAGATCTGTCTGCATAGCCAGTTCTGCTACATTGCCAACTTAATTGGGGCATCTCTTAGTGTGGTTGAGCCTAATGTGCACTTTATGTTTCCCTTGTACAGATCTCTTTGGAAACCTTCATGACTGGATTAACTGGCAACCCACTCTTTACAGACTGAAAGACTGATAGAGTGAATCACTAAAAGACCACTCACTCTTTCAGAGTCATGTAATGAAGTCAAGTTTCTCCAAAGTCAAGTTTTTCTTTGCAACCTCAAACACATGCCTCCATCAGGAACACCACCTCTGCAGCAACTCTGAATTCCTGAACTGTTCCACCTGGAATAAAATCAAATGTTGCATTCTCTAACCATTACCTAAGGGATTTATGGGTCACTCAATAGGACATGTAAGATCCATTCTAGCTTTTCAAGCACCTTTTCAAGAAATACTTTGAGGAATTAAGGTCTTGTGAGATGTTATTAAAGCAAGTAATACAGTCTGGCATCCTTCTAGGTTTATACTCACCTGTCCATCATGTGGAAGCTGGAGAGTTACTTCTTTTGATAATTCAAGGTGAGTCCTAATTATTTCTTTAAATTACAGCAATGCTATCCTTCCTAATTGTCAGCTTAGAAGCACTGAAGTTTCTCAGATTCCACTCACCATTATCTGTTCAGGCTCTACATTGAGGCTTTAGTGATGCAGAGAATTCAGCATGCATACAGTGCCTCTTTCTCATTCATATGACCACACCTATGGTGCTGTAGTGGCACTTTGTGATGGTGCTACAATCTCTTGCAAACAAGACTCCTTGACACCAAGGTCCTTGCATTATAAATAAGGGGTGATGATCAATAGCAAATCCTTATCAAATTCAAATGCCTGTAAACATGAAAGTAGTTTCTGGGGCACAAATTACTTGCCAGTTTTGAGTTATAATTCTGATCCTATTGTGTCATCACCTCGTTCTTCTCAGGGGTCCATTGACACGTTTATCTCAAAAACTCACAGATGGAATTCACGTTTTATCCAGGATACAGGTTACCTGCACAACCACTGCATGAAACAATAGATGAAAGTACAGGAAAAGAGTGTACAACTATGAGTACTAGTGAGAAGCTAATTGAATTTGGTACTGATATGTGTTTATGCACATAGAGAATATAGTTATTTTTTAAATCAATGAACAAGACATCTCTGTTTGTTACACTATTTGTTTTAATACTATATTGCTTCTCACAAGTGCATTTTGTGATAACAGCATGAAATTCATTTCATTAAGTTAAAGTCTGCTGACATTAAGGTAATGGCTGATGACATTTCTAATTTGAAAGGCCTTCAGAGTTAGTTTTATGAGGGCATTTTCCTTAGCAACCAAACAGGGCTATAGAATGCCTGTGGGATATTGCCTCTCCTCAGGCAAGAATTCATCCCTTTGGCCTAGTAGATTTTTATAGGCTGTAGCAGTATTAAACAAAACATAGTACCCTTGCCACTTCTTCCCAGGAAGTAATACTATATCGTCTTTAGTTGTGCAAAAGCATCTTCCAGTATTTTCATACTGACTAGGTTAATAGTGGAAAAGAAGACATGTCTTGGTATTTACCAACTTTTTATATATGATAAAAAGTTGGATGTCTTATAACTTAAAAGAAAAAATATTTTTTGCACTTCTGCCTCTAGCTTATTAAAAGGAGAGACTCTTCTAGCACTTGCACTAATAAGATTTATAAGACGTTAACAAATTATCAGAATCAATATTCTTTGGTGAACACTAGTTTCAAAGTTGTCCCAACTCTGGCTGTGCTGGGACTGGATATCTGCAGTTGTCTGTAACATAATGTAATACAACACCATATACAATTAGGTGTTCAGAAAAAGTTTGAAAATGATGTAAAACAGTCCAAAGCAGGAATATATTTCTGTGATATGCCTAATATGTTTACTTGAGAACTTTCTAAAGAGTATTTTTACTTGGCATAAAAATGCTTAGTACTAGCTCAGATTTATAATCAGTTTTATTAAACACTGAGTTCCACAGTTATTTCAGCTGTTTTGCTCTTTGCTTCAAAATAAAGAAAGAACAAAATATATACATCTGAGTAGACACTTTTTATTTTTAATAAAAATATGAAAAAAGCTGTATTATTGAGTCTTTTAAAAGTATCTTGAGCGACAATAATTTAAGAGCACTTATTTTCTGGAAATCCAGGTGAAGTTTGATGAGAGGCACAGGTCTATGAGAGGTATTCTCCTTGCTTTCCAAGAACCCATGGGTATTTTTTTAAAGCAGTATATGATAAATATAAGTAGTATATGTAATTATGGAAGATCAGATGAGGAGATGACTAGAGTTGGCTCTGTGTGTTCAGGGAAGTTTATTTTTATAAAAGCTGGAGACCATTTGGTATTCTGTATTTTCTTAATGGATGCCAAATACCTATAATAGACTAAAATAAAGAAAACAAATCCTGATGAGTGCCCTCGCATATCAGAATATAGAGGTGGGAAGTCATTATGACATTTTTACAGGGATTTTAATACCCAAAGTATGTTTATATTTATTGATACATTTGGTTGTCACCTGTGAGAGCCTATTCATACATATAGTTATTATATACTGTGCCAATATACTATGTTACTGTTATGAAATTTATATTCTGAAGGTGGAATGTTGTACTTTAATCTGAGTTCCAATGTTCACTGCTTTTCTTTTAGTGGGTACACCACTTCTTGTCCTTTAGACTCAGTTTTATCCTTTATAAAATGTGAATAGGGATGACTAAATAAATTCATAAAATTGTCGAAGGATCAAGGGAAATGCAAAGGTAGGCAAACAAAATGCCAGTAGAAAAGCAGGCACCAAGAAAGCATTTGGGTTCTTCATGATCTTTGTCATTGATGTGTTCATAAATCAATCCATTCATTCAATTCACCATGTGGTCATTCACCTCTGAAACATTTACTGTTTGCTTTCTATGTGCCATACATTGTTCTGAGAACTGAAAATGCAAAGCTGAAACAGACAAGTTTTCTCCCTCAAGAAACTCTCATTCTGAAAAGAACATAGTCCTTGGTACACACTTTTATATTTGAGCTCGGGACCCTAGTTTTTCCTAACATCTGAGGTATGTAGACTCAGCCTCAGATTTGGTCCATTAGCCAAATTAATCCACCCACAACACCCTGAGACAAATCAGATAGGGATAATATCTGTTTGCTATGAGGGGACATAATTATTTCATTGGGACACAAAATTGTGCAGGCCTTAAATCTCATGAGATCACACCTTCATGTCCAGAGATCATAGTAGTCTCCTAAACTAATTTTTAAAAAGCTTCTGTGTCCAACAAATTTAAAAAAAAGCTTCTGTGCCCAACAGAGGTAAAGAGCCAATATCAATATATATCTTGGGTGATTTAAAATAAATTTTTAACAAACTATTTTTTAAACTTAACATTAAAGCTACTTAACTAAAAAGGTAAAATAGTTACTTTGAGAGAAACAAAAATCAAGAGTTCATGACTTCTCAGAAACAATAAAATTTAAGTAACTTGAATTGGGAAGCATAGCCAAAAATGGTCACAACCAGCCAGAGGTTAATAGAGATTAAGATAGTAATGTGAGGTCTTTGCTAGCTGTTCAGTATGTAGAAAATATATAGTCCTGGACTAATGGGGTTTCAGTCCTAGAAGGTCACATGACTTATTTGCATTAATACTCATAAATAAGAAAAATAAAGCTATTCAAATATCCAAACTACCCTCTAATACTTTAGGCAATTCTGTTCCTAATCCATACAATTCTAGCCTATGTTTTTCCCTCTTGGTTTCTTTCCACTTTACCAAAATCAGATATGAACTAGCTGGCACCACATTATACACATTAAAATGATTTCTTTTCCTTGAGATGTATCAGATGTAGCTTACAAAGTAATAAATTAAATTACCACATATATTGCTCATTTTCTATTTTTAATTTGTATATTTGTCAAGGCCAACTTCCACAAATTCATTTCTCAGAAATTGAATTTTTCTGTTTGAAATAAAATAAGCCACATAGTTATCTATCATTTAGTTTTCTGTACTTTTATGGGAATCTGATACAGAGCAGCAGCCAGGATGTTTAGATATGATAACAAAATACATCATTTGGACACCTAATTTTTAATAAAGCCATGTCTGCAAGCTGATGAACCCTGATAACCTGAAGTTGAGTGTGACATTTTCCATCAAATTATATTTGGGTTTTCAAAGAGTGGCTTAAAGCAGGTAATTCATTTCCTCCTATGTACTTTACTGGTCAACAGATGGATAAAAACTATTTTGTTATAGTTTCATGGTCCAGCTATTCAAGTTTCCTGAGATTTGATTTCCAGGGAGGGGATGAGAAAGAGAGAAATAGAGGAGAAAGCTTTCATATTCAAAACAATTACTAATTAGAAATATTTTATTAGATTGCTTGGGGAACTTAACAAAGTGATTCTCCCTAATATGTTTTATGCTTAAAAAAGTCATTGAAAGTTCAACTTCAGGTCATGTTGTCATCCAATATATAGCTACACACAACAGCAACTGCTTCTAAGAGAAGTGCTTTCTATTTTTCAAAACATTACTCAGAAATTTGAAAATCCATGTTGGCATTCTTTACCATTTTCTAATTAGTTCTGCTCGCTTGGTTAGAATGTAGAAACAGAAGGCTAGCAGAACTGTTTAGAAAACAGAAATGTTCACTCAAGGAAATAGATGCGTGAACATGTGTATATGTGTGTGTGTGTGTAAGTCCTCTAGTATAACACATAAAACTCTCTATAATTTAGCTATTGAGTGTTTAGCCACTTCCTTGCACCATGCCTTATGGAATGCTTTGGTCTGACTTATATAAAGATGGGAGTCAAGCCATCTTTTTTACTTTTATCTTACCTACTTTGCCACAAAATATGTTTTGTTTGAGGATAAAATTATGACTTAAACTCTAACAATGTACTAAAATATAATAGTGTCTAATTCATTCAACATTTAAAGAAAAGCCAGTGTAAAATGATTATTTAAAGAATGAATGGATTAACTAAAATAATTTCTACTGTAAGGAGTTAACTAGTATTTGAATAATTTAATTATTTATTCAGTGTTGCAAACCCAAATCTATAGTGTTTCATAGTGATTTACCCTATTAGAGTTTTCCTATGCCACTTCTCTGTATGTACTCATGTCAGGTCAGCATTTTAAGATTACATCAAATTATGATTGAAGATTCAGGAATAGACACAAAGGATAAGATACAAACACATAGCTATGCTAATTAAAAGCAAAATAATTCTTTAATTTTATAGAAGTTGAAATAATGAGACACCTCAACTTGCAGAAATAAAGAAAATTTCAAAGCGAAGTAACTATTTTTCATAGAAAATGTACTATCAGTTATGAAAAATAAAGTTCCGGCTGGGCGTGGTGGCTCACGCCTGTAATCCCAGCACTTTGGGAGTCCGAGGCAGCCGCATCATCTGAGGTCAGGAGTTCGAGACCAGCCTGACCAATATGGAGAAATCCCGTCTCTACTAAAAATACAAAATTAGCCGGGAGTGGTGACGCATGCCTTTAATCCCAGCTACTCAGGAGGCTGAGGCAGGAGAATCACTTGAACCTGGGAGGCAGAGGTTGCAGTGAGATGAGACTGTACTATTGCACTCCAGCCTGGGCAACAAGAGTGAAACTCCATCTCAAAAAAAAAAAAAAAAAAAGGAAAAGAAAAATAAAGTTCCTTATTCTTGCTACTACGCTCTAGAGAGAAAGAGAGAAAACTTCCATGGACGTGATTTGGGTTTCCTATAGAAAGGAAACAAAGTCATTTAATGTTACAGTACATTTGTAGTTAATGTCAGTGGACTGAGAAGTCAGACAATCCATATTCATAAATTTAGTTAATGAAAATATACTGGCTCCCTGATCCTGTAAAAAGTCCCATGTGAAGTGATTGTTGAACCCATTATTCTACTAATAGAGTTCACGAATACCTGAATATGCAAAGAAGTTTGAAGACCTAATGTTAGCAAATGAAATTCTAACCTTGTTAATAAAGAAATTATTTTCATTAAAGAGGAATGAAATTTGGTTTATCGTACCCAGTCCCTGCTGTACTAGAGAGATGGGTACATAAACCTACTTCATTGATGAAAATGTTATCACCTTTCAATGAAAAATGGATCATTAGAGACATTAAATTATTATAGTAAGGGATTATTCATTTTTCTAGCAATTGAAAGAGATTTATAGATTATTGTAAAGATTTTTGCAGTCACAGCAATGGTTTATCGGGTAAGAGTTATGAGGTATGATCATCTAGCCCCAGGCTTTGTTTTCTTCTAATTCAGTTACAGGCATGTGAATCTGGAGGACAAGCAGGGCAAACTGTTAACAGAAATACCTACAGGAGGGCCCAAGCAAGCTCCCATAAGCAACCTTTCCTAAGGGAAGAGGAATTTGGCACAAGGTATATTTACAAACACTTGATGATAGACTAAAGTCAACATGGATATCAGCACCATGTTGAATTCATTAATGTTAAAAACACAGATGACTGAAAGAAAATATTGACTGCATGGATGCATCATTTAGAGAATCCAAAATCTCTGAAACAAGCAAGTTTTGGAAAAGGCACTGGCCCTCTTCTAAAGGTGTAGTGAATGATCTGAGGATTCAGTTTTCATCTAACCATGGGATGATTTTATCACTGCTATAAAATAACTGGTTATTATTTAAAGTATTTAAGCAGGAAGCTGTAAGAATCTATTTGAAGGTCTCACATTCAACATAAACAAAACATCCTGCTCCTTGCTACTCTGAATTGTTGATACCCCTATACAACCCAGTTCAGTAAAGGCCACCATCAATGCAACTGCCCAAGTCAACTATTGGGAGTAATTCTTAAATTGTCTTTATCTTATTCAAGCAGACAAATATGTAAGCAGATATTAGCATTTTTCCCTCTAATATATATCCAGATTCTATTCACTTTTATTAATTTCCATTGCTAAAACCCATTTCATCTTTTTTCACAGAGACTAATACAATAGTTTTCTAAATAATCTCTATCTTTTATCCTCTCACGTGTTCTCTTCTAAACACCCAAGGTGATCTTTTAAAAAAGTAAATCAGTTTATATCACTACCTTGTGTAAAACCCTCATGATAAATACAATTTAAACTCCATAACAAAACAAAAAAGACAAAGTTCTTTTACAATCTGATCTCTCTCTGAGCACTCTCATTCTGTCATCTATAACTAACTTCTTTTTTTTCCTCAAAACGTGCTAGTCATGATTCTACCATAGCACCTTCCTATTTGCCATTTCTGAATGGAAAACTCTTGAAACGGACTCTTTTTTGTCATTCATGTCTCTACTCAAATGATCATTCAGCCTGCTTGTCAATACTTTGGTTTTTTTTGTTCATTTGTTTGGTTTAGTTTGAGGATGTATACATATCTTTAGTTCTAGGAAATGTTCTTTATTATTAATTATATTTAACTCTATCTTGAAAATTAACAGATACAAAAGCATGTTCTCATCATAATTTTATGGATTTTCACAAATCTGGCACACTCACATAATCAGTATCCCAATTGAAGAAACTGAACACTACTGGCACCCTATTAACCTTACCCAGATCTCCAATTCTGTCACAATCCACTAAATAGAGCCAAACACTATCTGGAATGATGACACCATATATTAGTTGTGTTGGGTTTTAAGTTCATATAAATGGAATCTTATAGTGTGTATTTTTTTTACGATTGCCTTGTTCCCCTCAACATTCTTTGTGAGATCTAACCATTTTATTATTTCATGTAATTGTAGCTCTTTCATTCTCATTACTGTACAGCATTTAACTGTATGAATATATCAACATGCATTTTCCATTCTACTATTAATTTGCATTCATATAGTTTAAAATTGTAGGTAATTGTTAAAAGTGTTGCCATGAAGATTCCAGAGTATGTCTTTTTATGGGCATATGAATGTAAATGAGCTTTACTTTTGCTGGGAATTATGTAAGAAAGGAATTATTAGGTCTTAAGTTTTGCAAATGGTCAGCTTCGGGAGACACTGCCAATAGTTTTTTAAAGTGGTGGTACCAATTTGCATTTTTCAAAACTGTGTATGAAAATTCAGTTTGTTCAACATCTTTACCAATAGTTGGTTCTGTCTTGTCATTGTTACTGTTGTTAGTCATACTGAGGGTGTCATAGTATTGCATTATGAATTGAAATGACATTTTCTTGATGATTAATGGTTTCGAGCTCCTTTCCATATATTCATTAGTCATTCAGGTATCTTCTATTCTCAATCGCCTTTTCAGGTCCTTTGCCCATTTGCAGGGGGAGTGGCTTATTTAGAAGTTTTTTTTTAAAAAAATTTTAATATTTTGTGTTTATTGAACATATAGTCACACAATGAAAAACTAAATAATTTTGTTAAAACAAAATACATATTACAAGGGAAAAGATAGCAGAAATCTTCTCAATTTTATCTTTTTTCTCCCAGAGGCAACCAATTTCAACTCTTTTGGTAGTTGTCATTGGCCTTTGAATTCATATTTCTAAATAGCACGTTGGCACGTGAACGAGGTTTTTTTTTTTTCTGTCTCTATGGTTGCATAGCATTATTCGGTTAACAAATAATTATTTTCTGAAATGTCAAGACAAATTTGAAGGAGAAGAATTAGAAGTGTGTGTTCAACCCATCATCTTGGCTGGAACTCTCAGTGTTATATTTCTGAGTATACTTTCATTGTATAAATGTATGTTTATATTCAGATGCAGTATAGCTATCACCTCCATTTTCTCTATCACTGGAAGTCAGGCCTACATATATCTAGTAGGTCTGGACCAGTTATTTCATAGTAATTTGTTTTCATTCAAAATTACTTATTGGTGCGAGGTTTGAGGCAAATTATGCCAATTATACATAAACATAATAGTGCATATGTTAATATAAAGTTGTTTATTCACATAGACATAGAATGGCCCCATATTTACCAAATATTTCCTTATTACAACATCGTATATGAGTCAAGCTTATTATACTTAACTATTATGCCATGTTTTATTTATGTTGTCCTATTCTATAATTAAATAACTACATAGTACTTATTATTTAATATACTGCCATGTTTACTCATCTCAACATCAATTATCTTAAACTGCCTGAACAGTTTTTGGGTAGTACAAACTATTTTATTATGTTTTTAGAAACTCATGTCTATCAGCCAAAGTAGAAAGTACATAATAAATTATTTAAAAATATTAATTAAATGTGTTATAGAACCAAAAAGTCTTATTTTAATGATCATAAAAATATTGATGTCATGAAGACACAACTCAGTGTGAATCAAATACAAAACTAATGCTTAGAAGAGTAAGAGTCTATTCTTAATTTGTGTAACATTTAAGGTTTTACCTAACCAATGTGCATTTTTAGAAACTTAACCTACTTGCGTTTTATTCTAGCTTTTTGCAACCTCTCTAACAAAATATTTAGGATCATATGTTCTTTTTCTTTAATAATATATTAGGTCAGACACACAACTAAGAAAACATCAAGAAAGATAAAAATATAGTATTTTTCAGTTTGGATTTTCATATTCTGCCTCCTTCAGTTAGTCCAGTTTTCTCATCCCTGTGGATAAAAGCTGCTATTTTTATTTTCAGAATCTTGGGATACTTCAGAGAGCAATTCTCAAACAACTTCTTCAAACTGACAGCCTTCAAGGAATTGTGCAGGATAGATGGGTGGCCAAATGACAAGCTTGGAAAGCTACAGGGGAACGCTACCTGCTCCTCTCCATCCATTCCTGGCTCTCTACTCTTAACTCCATATTTCACTTCACCACTGTGTCATTAAAATGTTCAGTACCAAGAAGCAGACTGTTCGCAATGATAGGTATAAACTGTTCAAGAAGACACCCAATACTAGCAAATTTTTCTGACTCCTTTTAAAATAAAAACTGGCCTTCTTACAGTAATTTCAAACTTATAAAAGGCACGGATTAATCCAAAATGCCTATATATATTCAGGATAGCTTTCCTAAGCTGATTGGCCTTTGACTGTGAAATTTTACCTAAAAAAATCAAGTTAATAAATCATATGTATATGAACAAAGACATTCACTGTCAACTGACCTGTGAAAACATAAATTATATTACCAGTTTGGGGATTATTATTATAAAATAAATCTTTAATTTATGTAGAGAAGAGTTACTAATGAGTCAAAGCAAGCTCTCGCCTTTAATGAACAATTCCTGAAATGTTTCATAATACAGGAAAAATTCTACTCTGTCTACAACCCTTTTCCCTATAGCTCTGTGGTTCTGTATGATAATGAGGGAAATTTATTATTGCTATTTCTGAAAATCCTAACTGCAATAAAATATAAAAAATCTTTAACAATCAGTGTGAATATTTGCATATTGTATGGCTCCTAAATATTTAATTATTTAATACATTCAAATAATCAGCACCTTTTCTTTATTTTTTGATGTCACCTTATTTATGATTTTTGCTTGAAGCTAGAAGAACTCTAAGTGGAAAGATACATTATTGTATTAAAGGGTCCCAAATCCCCAGGACAGGGACTAGTACCAGTCCGTGGTCTGTTAGGAACAGAGTCACACAGCAGGAGATGAGGGCCCTGCTAGCGAGCGTTACATTATTGCCTGAGCTCCATCTGCTGTCAGATCAGTGATGGCATTAGATCTTAAAGGAACAGGAACCCTATTGTGAATTGTGTATGTAAGGGATCTAGGTTGTGTGTTCCTTATGAGAATCTAATGCCTGATGATCTGAGATGGAACAGTTTCATCCCAAAACGTTCCCCCCACTGCCGCCCATCCTGGAAAAATTGCCTCCACAAAACTGGCCCCTGGTGCCAAAAAGGCTGGGGACTGCTGCTATACTGTAGATTAAATCCTGATATTCTTATTTGATTCATTTCACTTGAAAAAGTAAAAATAGAATAGACTTCTTTTATGTTTGCAGAATTTCAAACACAAATTATAAATTATGAAAATAATAAATATTACTCCTAATATTTTTAATTTTATCAGTTTTCAAAAAGCTTTAATTGAGAATCTGGGAAACATGATATTTCATTTTGCTCTTGAACAGCTAATAATGTATAATAGGCTATTGATTTTTGTTCTATTTTTCTCTTCCAATATAAATTTCCTTTTGATGAGTCAGTTGAGGAAATAAATTATTTGACCTGAGTAATCTACACTTTGTCTCCAAAGCAGAAACTGTTGTTCTGTATCTTCAGGCTGCTCTTTTCTTTTCGTATTGAAGCCAGTTAAAGTAGAGAAAGAAAAATGAAAATAAGAAAAATAAAATAAAGTTAACATGGGTAGATGTCTATGGAAAATCAAATATCTTAGGCTGTAAATTTATTTTTTTTTGAATGTACATGTGAATGAATATGAACACAGTATATTGCTTTTATATTCTGTTTCTTTAGGATTTAAAAGTTACTCTGCTGTACCATTCTTAAATTAAGATTTATTTAATGATGTTGTTGGATTTCGGAGGGGTTCTCCATAGAAAAACAGGCTCTCTTTCAGATTTTCTAAATTCTTTCCCCAACCACAGCTCATCATAATTTTTGCATGTCCTTCCTTGTCAAAGGATTGAATGGAACATTAGAGACCTTCCAGAGTATTTTTACTGATGAATTTTAAAGTTATAAGATGCTAGGAGAAATATTATTTGACATGATTTCCTATTGAAATCTTCCCTGTATTTGTGGATACATAATCGAAAACTCCTTCACACGACACAGTAGCATTGCTGTTTGATTTGTCTTTAAATTCCTATATTTAAATAAATTGTGGCAGAAAAAGGAACTTCTAGTAGAGAAATCTGTTTACCTCCACATCCTCTGGATGCAATGGCAGAGCAGATAGCTTCTCTGTCTAGACTAAGATAAGTGATTTCTATCTGCCAAGTGAATAGCAGCAGGAGACTGAACATCATTGTTTGATTACCCAGATTGTCCCAAAGATGCTGTGTTAAATGTCCAATCAAAACAGCTCACTTTTACTAGTGGTGAAGTTAATTTACTACAAATGGTGGTGATACAGATTATAATATCTTATAGGATGTTCACATTACAAATAAACTTCAAGGTGATACATGATGACAGGTTTTTAGCATTTGTAAAAGAAGAAAATCTTTCTCTAATAACAACATTCCTAAATTTTTAAAAAATCAATTTTTGGACTGTAATATAGATTGGCATTCCAAAATCCTACCTACTCCCACCCATGTAATTATCTTCCTTGCTAGATGGTGACCACTGAAGTCGCTTCTAGAAAACAACAAGGCCATGACTGTCCAAAATACACTTTGAAAACTTCAATATCCAACTCCTATTCAACATAGTGTTGGAAGTTCTGGCTAAGGTAATCAGGCAAGAGAAAGAAATCAAGGGTATTCAGTTAGGAAAAGAAGAAGTCAAATTGTCCCTGTTTGCAGATGACATGATTGTATATTTAGAAAACCCCATTGTCTCAGCCCAAAATCTCCTTAAGCTGATAAGCAACTTCAGCAAAGTCTCAGGATACAAAATTAAAGTGCAAAAATCACAAGCATTCTTATACACCAGTAACAGACAAACAGAGAGCCAAATTATGAATGAACTTCTATTCACAATTGCTTCAAAGAGAAAAAAAATACCTAGGAATCCAACTTACAGGGGATGTAAAGGACCTCTTCAAGGAGAACTACAAGCCACTGCTCAGTGAAATAAAAGAGGATATAAAAAAAAGGAAGAACATACCATGCTCATGGATAGGAAGAATCAATATCGTGAAAATGGCCATACTGCCCAAGGTTATTTATAGATTCAATGCCATCCC